TTGTTTTTTCAGATTCCTCTGTATCTTTGTGCAGGAACTCACTTTTGTTATAGGAAAAATATTTGATGCAGATCAGATCCCTGACATTTTAACAATGGAAATCCTTGACACTGACTTTCAAAGGTTTATATGATTTGGCTGTGTTGTTTGAGACCTCTTTTTAAATCTTTTATTAAATATTCATTTTATGTACAATATATTTCTCTGTTGTTCCACTTCATAATGCTGCTAATGTTGGTTTAACTAACTGGCTTTGGAATGTTAGACCATGGGCCACTCACTAGGAACAAAATTCCCACATGTTAAATTAACGTTAAGCCACTTCTAAAACTATTTTAAAGTTATAATGAACCATTGTGCTTTGTTTCAGAGAGCCAGTTAAAGAACTTATCACTTTTGCCCACACCTTACCTGCCATCTAAGCAAGTTCCAACTCTGCTGAATATTTATGTCCAATAAAAATATAACAGACAAAAATAAACATAATGTATGGCTTTGTTTGTAAAACAAGTGTCTTGACATAAGTTGATGCTCATGCATGCATCTGTGATGTCTTAATTTAATTTTGTGTATTAAGTTTGGAAAGTGTGGTATTGTGCTAAGCAGAGATGTCAAGGAAAGAGAATTTTCATCCAGAAAATGTTTTTGAACTTTTTGGGGACAACATTAGTCCAAAAGCAGAATGATGGTCAAACATTCAAAATCATTCACAGGAGCAAGATTTTTCATAAATTTTGGTTGGACCAAAATTAAACAGAACCTTTCGGCTTGCTCAGACTGTGTGGCTGACTCTGTGGACTGCTGGGGAGATGGGGATCCTCTGGAATCTAGTACCCCATCAGGTGATCTGCCAGGGAGCTGAGGGATTTGCTCAGGAGAATATAGGCAGGAATTCAGGGCTGGTTTAAATCTAAACTTTTGATGGAATTGCCATTTCCTATGCAACATTTTGATTCCATCAATTCATTATTTTCTGGCAGGGAAACTATTCTACCAGAATTTTTTTTTACCGGCTCTAGTTGTAAACCTTTGATTTGCTAAATCAGTAGTGTACTTGCTTTAAAAAGAAATTCTTACTTAGTATATTTAAATTAGAATTACATGAAAAGCTTGGTTTGAAGCAATAGAATATGTAGCATCTGGGGAAGAAAGATACTAGTACAAATGGCTCTACAGTAGGGATGTAAAATCCCATTTTATTGGTTAACTAGTTAAATGTAGTACAGCCCAGGCTGGGTCTGCTGGAGCCAGCTGGAGCACCCCACCTGCAGCAGGTCCTTCCGGGATGGAGTAGCCCCCTGCCCATGGCAGACAGGGAACTGTTCCAGCCTCCACCAGTTATCCAGAACCAGTAAGCCACACACATTAAGAATGAGGGTTACTGGTCAACCCAGTCACATCCCTACTCTACAGATACAACAATATTATTTCACTTAATATAGACATTTTCCCTTTGATATTTTTAACTCATAGATTAATAGTTTCATAGATTCCAAGGCTAGAAAGGATCATTGTGATCATCTAGTCTGGTTTCTATATCACAGGCCATAGAACGTCCCCAAAATCATTCCTAGAGCATGTCTTTTAGAAGAAATATTAAATCTTGATTTAAGAATTGTCAAGGATGGAGAATCCACCGCTACCTTTGCTAAATCATTCCGAAGATTAATTACTCCTACTGATCAGTTGCACCATATCAATATGATATGATAGGGGTTTAGTGTTTTAGGGTATGTCTACACTACAAAGTTAGTTCGAACTAACAGATGTTAGATCGAACTAACTTTCATAGGCGCTACTCTAGCGCTCCGTTAGTTCGAATTTAATTCGAACTAACGGAACGCTTAGTTCGAACTAGGAAAACCTCATTTCACGAGGATTAAGCCTAGTTCGAACAAGCTAGTTCGAATTAAGGGGTGTGTAGCCCCTTAATTCGAACTAGTGGGAGGCTAGCCCTCCCCAGGTTTCCCTGGTGGCCACTCTGGCCAATACCAGGGAATCTCGTCTGCCCCCCTCCCGGCCCCAGACCCCTTAAAGGGGCACGGGCTGGCTACGGTGCCCGTGCCAGGTGCAAGCCTGCCA